AGTGCTGTAACCACCTGTTTTATATTCTGTTAATGTTCATGTAAAAAAATACAAGTACCACTGTACTGCTGGTAGTCACCAATTAATGAGTGGACAGTTTTCCAGGTCTTGGTTGTAAATCATTGGTGGGGAGTTATCTTTATCCCTGGGCTCCTGGCCAGTGCGCAAGTCCACCTTATCCATAGTGTACCTGCAGTAGAGCACTGAACAGACAGCACTCTGGGCTTGTGTGACGCTTTGTTTCTAAGAAAACTCCCTGAGGCAGTGTAGATGCTCCAAGGCATGAACAGACTGTTGGGGCATCTGTAGGGATAAAAACCCGCACTGTATTTGAGAACCACAGTGAGGACTTGGCAGAGTGGGGGCTCAGGGATTAGAAGACAGGCCCAGAGGTGACTCACTAAGTCCAGAATGGGGGACAGCGGAATTTTTGCCTTTTTGTCATAATGCCCTGGCGTTGATTTTGATCTGATTCGGCTTCTTGGTCACAGTCTCCCTTTACCACAAAACCCTGGAGGTTAGTCTGTTATTTTTCCCACTTCCCCTGCTATTGGAGGGTCAGATGGGATTTCAGGTCTAACAGAGCGGGTCTGATCCTTGCAATCGATGTATTTGAAGAGTCAGATCCAGAAAGGTGCCTTTTGACTAGAGGGCCTTTGTCCCTAACGTGCTGTCCCTGAAACAGATGTATGTCCGTTGTGAGTTTTTGCAAAGCATTTTGCTACTGCTGACAGTGAGAAGGAGAGTAGGTGGGTAAAAGACCCTTGTTCCATGTTATTTTTTCATCTAGTCTACCAAGGCACAGTCACACCTGGTGGTCTGAAGTATGACTTAGTCACCTTTCAGGAGAAGGCCAGATTCTGGCTGCTTCTAGAGTTTCATCATAGAAGTTAAGTCAGGTGTGCTCTGAGGTGAAGGAGGCCTAACAGAGCTGCAGTAAAAAGGGAGATGCTGCTCAGTGCACCGGATTTCTGGAACTTGCAGAGTTTGGGAGATGAAGAGAAAACTATGGGGGTTGGCCTTGATTCTCTTGCTCTGTCCTCAACGATACTGCTGTTTCTTTACCTCTACTGCAGAGCACACCTCATCCAGTAGACGTGAAAATCTAGTGTGGGAAGATAACTCCAGCTCGCATCAGGCTGAGTGGAATAGAATGGAAGGAGAGAAGGGTAATCCTCATCAGAGGATCCTAAGAAGGGAAGAGAATCCTTGGGGAGACTGTTGAGATGTCACGTATTCCCAAATTGGGGACTACCTTCTATTATTGACCTTGTGGCAGGGATGCTCAGACTTAGTGCCCATGATGCCATCAGCACCAGAGAGCCCTCCTTTCTGGAAGTGGTAAGACAGAGAACCGGGCATCTGGAAGAGTCTTGGAAGCTGTATTCAGCTCTGTAGCATTTCCAGATTTTGGTGATGCTGCCACAGTCATGTGTGAGCGGCCACAGCTGTGCCCAGGTGGAGAGGAATGAGGGCTTTACCCCGTCGCCATGCTGCCGCCCATCTCCTCATGCCCTCTGTCCAGTCTAGAAAGCTGCATCTTGCCATACGAGGAACTGATGCTGGGAGAGGCCAGCAGCAGCCACGTGCTTCAGTTTCTGGGGTGCACTGAATGAAGGGGGTTTGTTCTTGTTGGTCCCACACTATACCTGGGATCTTTAGCTGCTGGGTAGGGCGAAGCTGGCTGCTGGGGCCGGAGGTCTGCAGGCATCCGTGTAGGAGGATGCGTGATGTTCCACAGGAGTGAGGTTTCTGAGCACTTGATGCCTCCCCCTTAAGTATAGGCACTTAACACATTTAAATAAAAAGAAGTGGAGATCCCTCAGACCAGATCATTCTCTTTTCTCTGTACAGCTGGTTTCAACTGAATACGGAGAGGCTCTCAGACTATTACTCATCAAGAACAAACCCAGGAAGGGGGTTTCCTGGGGCAGTGGTTGAAAGTGTGGATTCCTAGGTCTCACTCTGGCTGGAATCCTTGACAGTGAAGCCCAGGAATCTGCTTGAGAAATGCAGTTGCCCAGGCGACCTGGTGTCCCTCGGTAGGGGGTTCTGAAGAGCGAGGGTGGGGAGTTGGTCTGGTGTGGTCACCCGCAACCCTCAGCACCAGGAGCAGTGCCCAGCCCTACGAGCGTGCAGTGCCTCCCAGTGAGTGAGGAGCGAGTTCTTGTGCACAGGTTTCTGTTTCTTACCTGCTTTGGGTTAAGTATTCTTGTTAGAATTTAATGAAAAATAAGAGTGGAAGGTATGGTAAGGGACAGGATAGGGCCTCTTCTCTGTATAAACTATTTGAACTCTAGAAGTTTAATGTGCCCCATTTTTTTCATGGCTCAGAGTTTTGTGTCTGTCATGAAGTAGATGCTTAACTATTGGATTCTTGTACTGCCTGTTGGATTCTTGGTTCTCAGCTGTGGTCTAAATACAGTTGCTTAAAAAATAAGGAGCTTCTGTGTTGCTTTGACCTAGATGTCTATCTGGGCTGTTTTGAAAGAGTAAGTTCCAGAGTGCTGTTAGCTAAGTAAGACGAGCCTAGTTAGAAGACAGTGTGGTCCTATTTGTGCCTATGTGTGGTATAATTCCTGCCCCTCACCTCCTTCCATAAACAAAATGTGTGCTTTCTAAAAATACTGCTATTGAGAAATATTCCTGGGTCCCAAGGGGGGGTTAAACTGTGAGAGAACAATAGGAACAGATTTTGTCTTCCGTAAGGTTTGAGATCATCTGAATTTGAATGTGTTTCTCTTTCCCTCTTATGGTTCAGAGTCTGAGAGAACCATGCCAGGCCTTCTGAGTCTTAGTCTGTTGTTTAATCTTTTTTTTTTTTGCTAAGCAGTCATCTAAGTATCCAGTGTTTCGAGTATTTTTATTTACTGTCTCATTTATTGTCTTTTGCTTTTAAATCAACTGCAAATGACCTTGTTCCTGTGAAGTAATTTTCTTCTTCCAGCCCTACTTCCCTCTTTATACCTTCAGAGAAGGATGGTTTGGAATGAGAGTAGATGGTATATTCTTTCAAGAGGCTTACATACCACTACATTAAGAAAAAAAGACTGCATATTTACATTATTGCCAATGAGACAAGTGTTTCTGCTTAAAGTAAGCAGGCACAGAGAATCTTTTTGATATATATATATATTTTTTAAATTTATTTAACAAATAATATTTGAATGCCTTCATAGTGCCAGGCACAGTGCTAGGCTCTGGGATATAGGCATGAATGATACAGTTTCAGAATTTAATGAGTTCAAATTCTAATTATGGTAAGAAGCAGGAATCTGGTGAATGTAGTGCTGGATATCTTGCTGGGTGCAGTAGGAACACACACAAAAAAGTACAGATTAAGCTAGAGCTAAGCCAAGGATTTTGTAGGCAGGAGAAGAAGGTGGTTGTTGGCGTGTGAACTTGGCGTATCATACAGTATTATTTTCTACTTCCATTCCTGTTTTTTCCTATAAAATTCCCATGTGTTAAACACACAGCTCATACTTATCTTCAATGCTTGCCTTGCTTTTCCCATTGACACACTTAAAAGGCTTAAGAACAAGGCTGTATTTTGTTGGTCCATGCCTAACCTGCATAAAGTCTGAGACAATGAAGTTTTAATTTGTTTTTTCCAGATGTTCGTGATTTTTCTTTCTGTCTTTTTATCATTACCATTTGTTCCCTGGGGTAGTCTGCATGATTGCCCTGGAGTTAATGGACAGAAAAATCTAAGTGGCATAAACTGTATCCTCTCTTGCATCCTATTTGAGCTATTGACATTATGTTTCCATTCCCTCTACCATCCATCCCCATGATACCGTATGTTTTTCCTGTTCTTGGTCATGCTTCTGCTTTATGCTTGTCCCCTGCCTGAAGGCTTCTCAGTGCTAGTAGAACAGATATCAAATTCTGTAACAGGTCAGGCCGGTTCTTCATAGCCTGGCATCCACTAACCTCTGGTCTCATTCTCATCTCTAGCAGGATTATCTCTGCCTGTCCCAAGTTTCTGTTCTCCTGTCTCATATTAAAAACAAACAAAACATGGTTTACCAAAATGCCCTGTTCTTCATTTCTCCCTGCCTGTGTACCTCCTCTGTGGGCACTTACTGAGCAGGCAGAATTGCTGCTTCTCATTTCCTCTATGCTCCCTGGCATTTTGTTCATTCAACAGTTGTAACTCTTACCAAACTGTAGTATTTGTTTGTGTATCAGCCTCCCCTACCCTGTAGCATGAGTTTCAGAAAGACCCTTGCCTATTCGTTCTTACATCCTCCAGACCAAGCATAATTCTCAGCATGTGGTAGAAGTCATGATAATCTTTAGAATGGAGCTATCAATTTGTGTGTGATTATGGAAGTATGAAAACAAGATAATGTGTAAACATAGAAATATAAATTTTTAGACCTAAAATGTCTATGTGCGTCCTGGACAAAGTAGTTTATTATGTATCTCATACAGCATCTGTGGAGGTATTCCAGACAAGACAGTAGTGACTATCTGGGAAATAAAATTCTTAAGGTGCCATCTGGGACACATCATGGGCTCGAAAAGCCTGCATCTATTTTCTAACTATTCCCAAAATTTGCCAGATGACCCTATAGGTTTATGAAAACTTGCTGAGTAGAAATGTGTTCTATTCCATATAGCACTCAGCATAGGCATTAAAAAAAGATCAGGCCGTGGAGTACCTTAATATAAATAAAATCGGAGAGTGTAAATAGTTTCCAAGATGATGATAGTTGAACACTGGTGCTGCTCTGTTCAGGCGCAGCATTACTGTGATGTTGATTATCAACAAGAAAATATAATGCATTTTGGACTCACAAATTTCTGAAACCTGGATGTACATATTTCAATGTTATTCAAGTATAGCGATTGAAAGAAACATATTGTTAGTATAACATTTTGTATGTGAATCTTTGGAGCATTGCAGATAAAGGACCTTTCAGTTTTTGCGTGAAACAGAAACAATTATTTTAGTAATTCTCTTAATTTCAAAAGAAACTTTTTTTTTTCAGTATTGAAAATGAGCCCATGTGTACAAGTCAGAAGAAGGAAAATGTACTTTCATCAGAAGCTGTAAAGGTATTGTTTTAAATATTTTATATCAAGCAAATATTTTTCTTAATTTTTGCTCCTTTTTTTAGATTCTGTCACCTCATTTTACATTCCAAAAGAGCACTATGTTGTTTCCATCGAAATCCAGCCCAGTTCTAGTAGACATTTGCGTCTTGGGTTGGATAGGGATGGGGGAAGAACAACATTGGAGAGAAAGTTTGGAGAGTGGTGTTCTTATCTGCATTTTGCCACTAAAGCAGCCCCTCTTGCTTCCCTCATCTTTCTTCATTCCTCTGTGAGTTTAGCTGCTGAAACCTCCTTCCAGGCTGTAGAACTTTTCCCACCTACTCTTTTGCAGCCAGTTGTTGGACAGCCTGATGATTGGCCACCGCACAAGCTCTGTAGGTTTCTTCCTCTCCTACCATTTTTGTATGTCTTGAGTCGCCCTTCTCTCAAGATATTCACTTCTAGTGCTCTATGTACAACCTTGAGTTGTGTCGCAGGTAGTATGTTATTTCTCACATCTCAAACTTCGAAGTTTCTTTGGCTGCCACTTCCTGTCATTCCATCTGAATCCCTCATTGCCTCCATACCCACTCTTGACTTTCTGCAAACCTCCCTGCCCCTTGCTCCCTTATCTCTTGGTCTCCATTTGTTTCCCTTCTTAGCCTATAATCGATAATGTACTACTTCAGCTCTAATCCCACTGATAAAAGCCCTCAGTCCTCAAACTTGGCTTTTAGTTTAATTTACAATAATCCTACATTCCTGAAAGTCACAGCTCTGTGGATTTAGTATATATATATATATGCTGAGCAAATGCAGTGGCCAGGCCTCCATGATTGATTACAATCTTTTCTACCCATTTTTAGTATCTTGTTTTGAGTGCCCAAGATAATTTCGATTTGGGATCTGGCCCCCCAAGTTAATATGGCTCACAGTCAAGAGATGGTTTCTCTTAGGATTTGAGGCCTATAGAGTTCTTATATATGGACAGTCCAATTGGCCCAAAATAGAAGTGGCACCATGTCACTCTCACTGGGGTAGCCTGAGCATGTGGGCCCTGTAACTTTCTCTTTGTTTTCTGTAAACTACTGGTAGGGTTTCTTCAACTTAGCCACACAGATTCGGTTGTTCAGGGACCTGGGGCTGCCAGGCATCAAAAGTATATAATTTGATAATACCAATAGCCCTGTACCTTGGCGGAAAAAAGATTACCAACAGTATTTATGATCTTGTTACTTTAAAGAGTCTAAATTTAAGTTTTTTCATTTAGCAATTGGCATAAAATGTTTGTTTTCTTTCTAATGAAGAGTTTCCTGAAACAGCACTCCACTGTCATGTGCTGTTTCTTGCCATGCTTCCATCTAATGTAAATTTTATGAGTGTCTTAAAATTTGCAGCATTTTCCCTTGAGCCTGAAGTGTAAGATTTACATATAATAAATGCTCTTACACATGTCTTTTTGTATTTCACCTTGAGATACCAAATCAAGACATTGAAGATTGTTTTAGCTATAAAAGTTATTGTATTTTTCAAACATCTAGAAACTATTGGAGCTTTATATAATCTTTAGACATCAATAGATTCTTAGGTCTTAAAATGTCACATATGCTATATGAATTTTGCTGGTTTGGTAACATTGGTAGCTGTTTCTAACACTTGTATCTACCATTCCACTGGAATATATGTATTTTTAATCAAGTTTATATCTAGCTGGCAAAACTTCCAGTTAGTCCACATTCTACCTTAATTTTTCTGTGGGGTCTATAATCTTGCAGTCTTAGACTCTTGCGGCATCCATGTCTACTGTTATTAATGAGAGAGCAAGGGCTTTTCCTGTAGGAGCTGCGTGGTTAAGTGGAGCGTGTGCTTATCCACTAATATCACTGTATACTCTGAAAAGGGGCAGTCATCTGGTAAAAATACCACTTTGTCTACTGAGTTCAGGGCACCCATTCAAGCAAACATTTTGAACTTTGTTCACACCAACTTGTGCAAAAACAGCAGACAGGCCCTGTGCTGTCAGTGAATTAGCAGGTCACCAACCCAAGTGCTGAGTCTCGGGTACTGGCAGAGTTGTGACTCTGATTCCCAGAGTTTGAAGCAGGGTTTTGGCCAGGGTGCTTTGGAAATATATGTCGTAGGGACCACATGTTTCCCCAACTGAAACCCGGGACCATTAACATCCAGAGTGAACATAGCACAGAAATTATACGCCACCCGCTCTGCCCTGAGGCTCGGCCTTACCAGCACTGGTCATGTCTAAAGGTCATCCATGTTGAGGAAGTTCCTGAACTTTCTTTGGTGGTTGAAGATAAAATTGAAGGCCAAAAGAAGACAAAAAAGTTGTTTTGCTTCTTTAAAAACTTAAGGCCTGGAATGATATCAGAAAGGTCTATGCCTTTCAGAGAAAGCTGGTGAGGACGAAATGAGAAACTGGTGTCATATCAGCACAGGGGACCCTGCATCATCTTTAATGAGAACAAAGGTATCTTCAAGGCCTTAGAATCATCCCTGAATTACTATGCTTAGTGGAAGTAAACTGAATACTTGAGACTTGTCCCTGGTGGGCATGTGGGACATTTCTGCCTTAGGACTAGAAGTCCTTTCCACCAGTTAGAGGAGCTGTTGGGCACGTGGCTTTGTAAAGCTGCCTCCCTCAGGAATAACCACAAGCTTCCCATGCACAAGATACTCAGTATAGACCTTAACAGGGTGTTGAAAAGCCCAGAGATCCAAAGAGCCCTCTGAACACCACACAGAAGATTCATCACAGAGTCCTGAAGAAGGATTCACTAGGAAACCTGAGAATCACATTGATCATACGTGAGGTTGGCCATGTGGAGACCATGTGCTGGGACACCGTTCTTTACCAGGCCAGGAATCCCAGACTGGGTGGGTAAAGCAGCAGTGCTAGAATGCCAGTCAGATGAAGACGTTCCAGGCAAGAAACCATGTAGGGGAGAAAGAAAAGAAGGCCTTTGACATTGAGCAGAAGAAGCCTTTGGGCAGAAAGACGGCAGCAGCCGAGAAACCAGCAGCCGGGAAGAGGCCCCCAGGAAAGAGTCCCACCACAGGAGAAAGGCCTGCTGTATCAGTTTGTTCATGCCATAAAGGTCAGACCAGTTTGGACAGCTGATTTTGGATAAAGACCTGATTGGAGAGGCAGTGAGGAAAAATAAATAATAAAAAATAGAAGAGAAGGCAACTTATACTGCCCTTCTCCCTTCTCCCTCCTCCCAAGGAATTTTCATGCCTGCCTGCCTTCTCTCAGAGCTTGCCTTGACTGCATGCTTCCCTCCATCTTTACTGGCTTCTCTTTCCTTTTAAATATACATGGTGAAAATGGTTTCCTTTTGCTGGCTGGTTTCCTTTCAGTCTGTCATTGCACTTGACTCCTACCATTTTAACCAAAAACTTTTTATGAAAGTCCATCCTAATCACTGTTGAATTCTTAATGCTTTCTGACTCCTGTGTCACATCTCATCAGACGTGGCAAACCCAGTACTCTGCCTGGGACGGGTCGTAGATAGTCAACGAGGAGTTGTTAAATGAGTGAAAATCATGCCATGAAACCAGTGACTTCTTGCTAACCACATTCGTTGGCTTTTTCTTAGTTCTTATTTAACCAACTGTGATACTTGATTTTCTAAGTCTTGTCTCCTTTCCAGAAATTTTCTTTTTATCTTTGCTTCCATAATATAGTACTTTGTTTAAATTCCTATCTCTGACTATTTCATCCTTTTTCTTTCACTGATTCTCTTCTGACTAAATGACTTTTCATGTAGGTGTTTCATAGAGTTCTCAGCCCCCCTCAATGTCAGTCTCTAAAATACACTCTTCCAATCTTACTGCTTCCTCTTGGCAATCAGATCTCTATCTGACATCCCTCTTGAGCTCTAGACTTGTCAGGTTTCCAGACATTTCCTTACGGATGGCCTTTGATACATCAGCGTCCTTCTGCCCATGTGTTTAGGGATGTTCTCTGTATGTTTAGTTGGGAGGGAGGGAGAATCTTCTGACTGAGTGGTGTGGGGGAGGGGTCCTGGGTCTCAAGTACTCCATTCAGAGATTTTCACCCAAACCCTTCATTTTTAATCCTGTATCTCACACTGCCCTAAGTGGTACCTGGTGCTTTCAAATCTTAAGCTTTTTCAGGTTGTCTTTGGGGTGGATTGTTTCCCTTAGGATCAGAGTTCTCCATTACAGACACTTCAATAGAAGCTTCCTCTGCTCTGTGCCTCTCGACCTTTGCCTCCTAAGCCTTTTCTGAAATCTTCTATCTGCTAATATCTACTCCTTTATCTCTTTGTATTTATAACTTAAAAATCCCTTTGCTGTAATTTCAGTGTACAAGAGAAGAAATCAATATGTGTGGCTTATCTACAGTGTTAATTAGAATTTTTATCTCTTTTTTTATAGTTTCTGCCTGAAGAATATCAGGGAGATTATCACTTGACAAACACAGTTAGAAAAGGCTAGATAATTCATTTGTGTTTCTATACCATAATGTTTCCCATTTGTGAACTTAATTTATATGGTATATTCATAAACTAAATCTACCAAAAAGAACTCCTATTAAAGAAGAGTTGGGTCTTGTAAGCTTTACTTTTAAAACAGTAAGTCTCTTGTCAGAAATGATTCATGAGCTAAGTAAAATTAATGAGATCTTGACCACACATAGGCTATAGATTCTCCAACCCAGACCTAAATAAATTGATGATTATTAGGGTTTTTCTCAATAGCTTGGCATCTGCTTTATACAAATTTAACTTTCAGGCCATTTTAGAACTGTTGCCCATAAGTAATCATACAACTTTGGTGAAGATTCTGGCATCTTTTAAGCAGTGGTTGATTAATATATGCTTATGATGTTCCTAGGGATAATCAGAGAGTATCAATCTAGTGCATATTACTATTATTAATGATTCATAATACTTATTTTTAATCTTATAAGTAATTTACTACAAAGAACCACACATTTTTTATTGTTGCCACTGTTTATTGATATGTAAAAACAGAAA